TATGTGCATGGGTATGCCAACCACCACCAGGTCGAGGCGGCCATGCGTCAGGAGGTAACACCCACCGGCCAAGGTATCCATTAGGTGTCGAGACGGCCCTAGGACAGTAAGCATACCATTCCGGCTAGGGTATTCAGTAGATGTCAAGGCGGCCCTAGGGTAATAGACAGACCATTCCGGCTAGGGCAACTACTCGATGTCAGGACGGCCCTAGGGTGGTAGGCATACCATTCCGGCTAGGGTATCCAGTAGGTGTCGAGACGGCCCTAGGACAGTAGGCTTCACATTCCAGCTAGGGTATCCAGTAGATGTCAAGGCGGTCCATGGGTAGTAGACATACCATTCCGGCTAGGGCATCTACTCGATGTCAGGACGGCCCTAGGGTGGTAGGCATACCATTCCGGCTAGGGCATCCAGTAGATGTCAAGGCGGCCCCAGTCAACATGCCATTCCGGCTAGGGCATCTACTTTATGTCAGGGCGGCCCAAGGGTGGCAGGTGAAAGGCCCTGGAGATGGACAGGGCATTTTGGGACGGCCATGGTACCACAGGAGAAGCGCTCTGGGTGGTGCATGCAGTGTATGTCAAGGCAGCCCCATGACTCCAGGAGAGGGTTCCGGAGCAGGCATTTGGTGGATCTCAGAGTGGCCTTCATGTGGCAGGGGAGAGACTCTAGAGAGGGATGCCCAGCCATGTTGAGACCGCCATAGCAGTAGGGAAGGAGGCTCTGACCCGGCCTATGTAGCCGGTGTCAGGTGAGTGATGGGACCCGAGGTGAATGCTTGTGCATAGCCCGTTTAGCTTTAGCTCAGTAGTGAATCAACCTAATAAAAGCTCAAATAGGCTGCGTGCATATGTTGGTGTGGTTGGTCCGTGTTAGGAGCCAGCATATACTGGGTCAGGATGATACCCGTCATGTCTGGAGCCAGGTATGTTAGAGAATACAGCCGGTATTGAGTACATGTATCTAATGGTTGTGGCTTAGTAGTATATGTGTTAGTATTGTAGATTACCAAGGCTTTACGGTTAACATGGCTATTGCATGCATATGAGGTGCTGAGGTGCCTCCGGAAGCACTCGGGCCTGACATGATCTTCAGTATGGAATATCTATCACTAGGATCTCGGGTTCCCACAAAGAGCCCTCCTGCAAACAGCTACTCATCTCACATACCGGCCTGAGGCCAGCCAAAATCTCTGTCTCTCACAGTAGGCACAGCTCATGTTGACTCCAGAAGGTGTCAGAAACAGGTATATGTAACATGAGTACTGTAGTAGTGAATAGCAAGACATTGCAGGGTCATTACAGCCCTGATGAACAATAGCAACAGCTTGCTTGACCGGAACCGGCTGTATGAAAGGGACTTGTATTGAAGGACTTGTGATCATGCTGGCTGGAAGAGTGCTAGCTCACTTAAACACATATGCAACCGGACACAGATTCAACCTTATCACACATTGTTAGTTATATGAAGCGCTTCACAATTGATTGGTATACTACTGGTGCTCTATTTGACATGTAAGATGGTAACATAGATGATCTGACTACAGCTCCGGAAGACTGAGGGGGAGAATACCTAGCGGCGAGCAAGGGCGTCAGTCAGCCTGGCCAATGTCAGCAGCTGGGCATCGACCTCTGCTGCGTCAGCTGCATCGAGCTGCGCTTGGTCGATGGCGTCGGCCTCCTCCGGCTGCTCTCCGTCTTCCTCCTCCCGGTCTGTCTCTCCATCTGCGTCCTTGTCTCCGCTGTCTGATGCCGGAGTTTTTGGAACATATTCGACATCAGAATCAGAATCTGACAAATGTGAGATGGGGCAGAGGAGCAGTGAACAAATCCGGCTTACCAAGTTCGATGTACTCGCGCTTCTTGGGAGGTTCAACGGGCGGACGGTACGTCACGCTTCCCGAAGGGCCAGCGACCGCACTCGCTGAGGTGCTGGTGCCAGAAGGTTTTGCCGGCGTCGCCTTCTTGGATGGTGCAGACCCGAGGCGGTAGCGAGCGGCGGTGGCATTGGACTGGGGTCGAGTTGCGTTGTGGGACTTGGGGATATTGCACTTGGTCTTCTTCGCCTTGCACCAGGTACAGGCCTGGTTGTTGACCTGGATGCACCGCGCCTGATCGTGGGTCCTGCACTGGCCGCACCTGTCGGCGCCGACGAAGATGGTTTCCGGGGGCTCCTCGTCGCTGGGCATGGGCGGAGGCGGTGGTCCCTTCTCCTTGCCCTTGGCGCTCCCGCCGCCAGTCCCTTTCCCGCCCTTGCCGCCCTTGCCACCCTTGCTCCCCTTGCCGCCCTTGCCGCCCCGCCCGCCCTGCCCACCACTCGCCTTCCTGCTGCCCTCACCACCGCCCTCGCCACCTGCTGCCCGCTCCGTCGGTTTTCTGGTCCTTTTGGACCTTCCGTCCGCCGACGTTGACCCCTCTGCTGTCTACAACCCGCCCATCAGGTGAGCATACCAGAGAGAAGTCGGCGATGACATACCTTTTGCGCCTTTCCGGCCTGCTCGTCGGTGTTTGCGCGTGGCCGTTTACGTTTGAGGTTGATCTGTGGTGGAAGGATCTCGTTAGTGGACATGGCAATGGCAAAGGACGTCACGACTCACCCCTTCGACGAGCGGAACATGGACGTGGTCCATTCGTTGCGATCCCTGAGACCGGCTGGAGCTAACGCTTGATTCGCGTTCGTTTCTTAGGGTAGTTGGATGGAGGAGGGACAACGAGGACGGGCTAGTACTCACTGGTATAGCCGGAAGACTTCCTCCCACCACTCGTCGCCGCCATGATCGTCCACGTCGAGACCAGACGCGGTCTGATAGTCGAGGAGCCGCGTCATCTTCTCCTCGTCGCGCACCCACGTCTCGACCATCGCCGCCGGGTCTTCCTCCGTACGGAGCCACTCGATTGAGGGCGGGAGCTTGATGTCCCAGTCGCCGCCACACGCCGGTGTATGCGCGTAGATGTACGCGAGCGTCGCGAACGTATCATCCTAGAGAGCGGCGGCGGCACCGGAGATGCGTGTCAGCAGAGGCTGGGAAGGCAGGATGACTCACAAGTTCGGCGCCGAGGCCCCCCGACCAGATGTCGCTCGGGAACATCGGGAACAGCTGGACTTGCAAGCCCAGCCGGTGGTGCAACCGGTCGACGAAGCGCTGCGCCTCGGCGGCGGTGGTGGGCGCGGGGTGGCCGGCGACAGACGACCAAGGCGGGGAACGAGGAGGAGCGTCGGCGTCGGGGTGGATGGCGGGGATTTGAGGCATGAGTAGCGGTGGTAGTGGGTGATGCGTTGATGGTGAAGGAGAGAGAGTCGCGTCAAAGTCGCGAGACGCGGCGTTGTTGACATGTTGTTTGTTATTTGTTTGGTTCCGGTGGCAAACACCGTTGACGCGACTTTCGTTACCGGTACCGGTGTCATAGCCGGTAACCGGTAGAACTGACGCAGATTGGCCTCGGCCCTGGCCCCACGCGTACTCCCCTTTGCTTAGATGCCGCCGGGGCCTGTGGCTGCAAGGTATACATTCTCTCCCCTTCCGGTGCATGTGCTTCATCCTTTCCTGCCATGTCCCTCCCCCAGGATCTCGAGCAACATGTCTCTGATTACATGTTCATGCTTTCACACAACAAGGGGATTTACTCCGGCACCAAATGCCACCCGGCGATCTCTGAGGACCTGCAGAAAGCAGCCGGAGGGGCAGTAGACATGATCAGTCAGGCGGATAAGTGCACAGGTGCGGATACCGGAGCCTATAACTATGATAGCTGATATATTACAGTCCTACTTGACGGTGATATCCTCGACACGCTTCCTCCGCCAAGTGGCAGTGCAATGCACCTGGATCGCGAACTGAAGTATGAAAGGCGCCGGCTCCAGTTGAGATGGGACCCTATGAACCACCCCTGGTATGAAACCACCGTTGATCCGACCAACGGCCACCTCCTTGCCATCCGGCCGTTCAAGCTTTGTGACCTCTCTGGTCGCATTCTGCTATGGTACCTTCCTGATGTGGTTCCCGAGTGGCTACAGGCCCTTGTGTTTGGGTCCCTCCTTCCGGTGCACAGGCAGCTCAAGGCTGGCATCAGCGCCGCTAATGCGGCCACATTCCGGAACCACACCAGTTTATTCCTCCCACCCCAGGCTTCCGGAATCCAACCTGGATCAATCAACCCCAGTGAATATCGATCCGATTGTTAGCGACTTGCGGCGACTGAACTTTACTAAAATCTGACTGAATACGACTGTTAGTGACGGAGTGACGCAAAATGACTATCTGCGCCAAAATTGGGACCACTTTCCGTCGTGGTCGGTCGCTATACGTCGGCCCGGTTAGACCAGCTCGACACATGCGTGTCAGAGCCAGTCAGAGTCCGACACCGCGCAGACAGACAGCGACATATAGCGACTGGCTATGACATATAGCGACTTACACAACCCATATATAGAATGTATCAATACATGAATTGAATGTCAGACAGTCGATTTCAGTCGA